AAAATTATCTTTCTTTTACCTTCATTGTGAAGGATATTTTGCCCACTGTGGCCGTCAATGGTGATGTGCTGCCCAATAACCATTTCCTTTTTTGATGACAGAATTGCAGTTTTGTTTTGTTTGGTTCGGTTGTTGTTATTACTGCTGGTTTTGTTTTTGTTTTGGCCATGCCATGCAGCATGCAGAACATTAGTTTCCTGACCAGGAACCCATGCTTCTTGCAGTGGAAGTGTGGAGTCCTAAAACCAGTGGACTGCCAGGGAATTCCCAAGTCTTGTTTTGAGTCATTAAGTTTTGGGGTGATTTCCTATTGTTGTTATTCAGTCTCTCAGTCATGTCTGACTCTTTGTGACCCCATGGACTGAAGCATGCCAGGCTTCCCTGTCCTTCACCATCTCTCTGAGCTTGTGCAAACTCATGTCCATTGAGTCAGTGATGCCATCCAACCATCTCATCCTCTGTCTTCCCTTTCTCCTGCCTTCAATCTTTCCCAGAATCAGGATCTTTTCCAATGAGTCAGCTCTTTGAATCAGGTGGCCAAAGTATTGGAGCTTCAGCTTCTTCAGCATCAGTCCTTCCAATGAATATTCAAGACTGATTTCCTCTAGGAATGATTGATTTGACCTCCTTGCAGTCCAAGGGACTCTCAAGAGTCTTCTCCAACATCATAGTTCAAAAGCATCAATTTTTCTGATGCTCAGCCTTCTTTATGGTCCAACTCTCACATCCATACATGACTACTGGAAAAGCCTCTAACTTTGACTATACAGACCTTGGTTGCCAAAGTAATGTCTCTGCTTTTTAATATGCTGTCTAGGTTTGCCATAGCTTTTCTTCCAAGGAGCAAGCATCTTTTAATTTCAAGCCTGCAGTCACTGTCTGCAGTGATTTTGGAGCCCAATAAAATAAAGTCTCTCACTGTTTCCATTGTTATCACTTTTATTTGCCATGAAGTGACAGGAACAGATGGCATGATCTTAGTTTTTTGAATGTTGAGTTTTAAGCCAGCTTTTTCACTGGCTTAAAAGCTTTTTCTTTTTCTTTTAAATAGATTTCCTATGTATAAAAAAAATTGAAACTTTCTCTCAGATGTATAATTGTCTGTGTCCATGCATGTGTGCTCAGGTGCTCAGTCATGTCCAACTCTTTGCAACCCTATGGACTGTAGCCCACCAGGCCCCTCTGGCCTTACATCCCCTCTATATCCTAGCACTCCCTACCCAGAAGAAAAGACTGAGGGAGCTGCCATATTGGATAGAAGTTTGGGAACCTTGTGTTGCAGGAGGAAGGGATGAATGATGCTCCCTAGAGCTACTATCCCCACTCATCACTCCTTAGGCACAGATTCCTCTGGGACTGAAGACTTGCACCTGCTTCTAAATCTGAGCATCCCTGGGTAAATCCTGCAGCTATCTCTGGGGAAATCATTCCATGACATAGTCTTGTCAAAATCATGGATTTGGTCCACGTTGTTAAGAAATGGTAATTCAGAGCACCCATTTTTCAGGTCTTTTATTTATTTATTTTGATGTAGTCTTCCTCGTCCTGTCATCTGGGATAGGTTACTGGGAAACAGGAACAACTTCAACATCCAATATTAAGGAATTTGTTGGTACAGTTTTAACATCCAAACAATGACACGTTGTTTAATAAAGTACTGCAGTACAAAATGTTTGAACGATGGGGGAAAGCCTACGAATTTGATGCATATTAGTTGCATCAAATACGACCAGGGACACACTGCAGAGTGATGACAGTATTGGTACCTGGCTCAGTGGAACAAAGGGTATTTTTCCTGTTCTTTTATTTGTATTGTCTTCTCATTTTAACGAGCAGACATTGCCATTGTCGTTACAAAATAGAAAGAAATACATTTTACAAAAATATTTATTGCCGTAGTTTTACTTTATTTATTTTTGGCCATGCTGGGGCTTCGTTGCTGCATGCAGGCGTTCTCTAGTTGCAGTGTGCAGGCTTCTGATTGCAGTGGCTTCTCTTGTTGTGGAGCACAGGCTCAGTAGTTGTGTGCATGGGTTTAGTTGCCCAGCAGCATGTGGAATCTTCCCAGATTAGGGATTGAACCCATGTCCCCAGCATTGGCAGATGGATTCTTTACCACTGGACCACCAAGGGAGACCATTGGGATTTTAAACTGATCTCATGGATCTCACATTTTCTGATGCCACAATTCTTCACTGTTTGACTTTTTAGTCAATTCCTTTTACTAATGCTTTTCAGTGAGGAGATAAAACAGTAAGGAGTGAAGTCTTTCAGTTGAGTGGTTGAGTATATCAAGAAAGAGGAATCATCTGAGAGAGTAGGAAGCAACATAAAATCTCTCAAAACAAGTAAAAATATGTATTCGGACTTAGTAATATTGAGTTGATAATTTTAGTTTTTAAATATTCAAACAACAGAATCCACAGCATTGCAAAGAGTCGAACATGACTGAGCTACTAATGCTTTCAACATTTCCAACACAGTAACCGGTAGTCACACTGACTAACAAGCATTTGAAATGTGATTGGTTTGACTAAGGAACTGAATATTAAATCTTATTTAATTTTAATGACTTTAAATAGCCACAAATAGTTACCATGTTGTTCAGCATAGACTAACAGTTCCTCAAAGGATTAACCAGAGGTTAATTTGGCATTACAGGCATGGTTTCAGTAAGCTTTACTGTATTCACATCTTCTTTCAAGTCAGAATTTTTGTAAACTAGACTCTTATATGTAAAAATGCTGGTTTATTAAGGGTTTGCTTTCAGACATTTTAATAATTACATCCAAATGAATTGCAAAAAGACTGTAGTCATTACCCATGAGAATTCTCATTCCCCCACATTCTCAACAATACTGTATACTACATTTGTTTTGTTTTTTTTAAATATGGAACGCTTCACAAATTTGCGTGTCATCCTTGCGCAGGGGCCATGCTAATCTTCTCTGTATCGTTCCAATTTTAGTACATGTGCTGCCGAAGCAAGCACCTACATTTGTTTTTGAAATCTGTTAAGAGACATCATTTTGCCAGCAAAGGTCTGTACAGTCAAAGCTATGGTTTTTCCAGTGGTCACGTATGGATGTGAGAGTTGGGCCATAAAGAAGGCTGAATGCCAAAGAACTGATGCTTTTGAATTGTGGTGCTGGAGAAGACTCTTGAGAGTTCATTTGACTGCAAGGAGATCAAACCAGTCAATCCTAAAGGAAATCAACCCTGAATAGTCATTGGAAGGACTGATGCTGAAGCTGAGGCTCCAATACTTTGGCCATCTTATACGAAGAGCCGACTCATTGGAAAAGACCTTGTTGCTGGGAAAGAGTGAAGGCAAAAGGAGAAGAGGATGGCAGAGGATGAGATGGTTAGGTAGCATCACCAACTCAAGGACATGAATTTGAGCAAACTCTGGGAAATAGTGTAGGACAGAGGCGCCTGGCGTGCTGCAGTCCATAGAGTTGCAAAGAATCAGACATGACTTAGCAGGTAAACACCAACAAGTGAAGACATGCTAAGTCATTTGTTCCCATTATTAAATAATTGCCTCAGCTTGCAATGGTAAGCTTAACCAAAAGAGGGCACTAGAAGGACGTTGCAGGTGGAGGAGGTAGGACTCTGGGAAGCTCTCTCATCCCCAGACCTACAAAACAATACATCAAGTCCTCATTTGTAGTAATTACCAATTCCCATGGTGTTAAGTGTCCTGTGATGGCCAATTTCTAGCTGCCAATGTGGTATCACTGAAGGTGGAGTTGGAAAGAGATGTCCAGTGAACACCATGATACAGTTATTTCCACCCTACAGACACAACAGACATAATCTCAAGAGCATAGATAATAGTTAGGAAATGTTGTGTTGAGTATTTATTACCTAGTTTTCTAAATATATTTCTAAATATATTTTTCTAAATAGAGTTCTAAATAGTTTTCTAAATATATTTCTAAATATAGTTTTCTAAATATATTTCTTCTAAGTCTACGTAATTTTTAAATATAATCAGCCCTCCATGTCATAGGTTTAGCGTTCATGGATTTAACCAAGCATTCATCAAAAAAATTTTTTTAATTCCAAAAAGTCCCCAAAAGCAAAACCTGGATTTGCTTTGTTGTTGTTATGTGGTCACTAAATCATGTCAGACTTTTTCAACCCCATGGTTTGTAGCCATCCAGGCTCCTCTGTCCACAGGATTTTCCAGGCAAGAATACTGAAGTGGGCTGCCATTTCCTCCTCCAGAGGATCTTCTTAACTCAGGGATCAAAACTGTGTCATTAGTTATTAGATAAATAATATCTAAAACACAAGTAATCCACAGATGACAATGTGTAGGGAAGGATATGCATAGGCTACATGCAAATACTATGCCATTTCATAAAAGAGACTTCAGCATCCTCAGTGCCATCCACAGTGGGTCCCCAGCAGATATTGAGGATTTACTGTAATGATGAGGCAGGAGGTAGACAGACCTCCCTAGGGTAGATATTTCAAAACAAGAATGGCAGGATAATTGAGAGAGGAGTCTGGGCCCTGCCCAGATAGAAGATAAGAGACCACATAGTTCTCATTCTCTTGGGCAGTCAGGAGACTGCCCCAACTACACATGCACAGAAAGGCTTCTTGGCAGTCAAAAGGGAAATGATGCTAAGTGATGCTAACTACCCAAAGGCCTCTTTGCTGGAATCCATCTTGGCTAAGAGATGCACAGAGGGGAGGATCCTAAGATATACCAAATATGGACTCTGAACCAGACAAATCAAAATGGTTAGCCAAGGAAAACCAGAAGAAATGCTCCATGTAAGTAACTCAAACTTCCACGAAGGTGTGACTCAGCAACTGAGTCTGCCCATGCGTCTATCCATACATATTGTACTTTTTTTTTCTTCTAATAAATACTTTGTTAAACTGCTTTCCATCATTGTGAGAATTCTTTTTCTGCAAAGCTCAAGGGCGAGGACCTTGTCACTGACCATTAGTCTATAGTGGCTGGGATTCAGTGCTCTCACCTTCTGGACTGCACCTCGATCTCTGGCCAGGGACCGAAGCCTTGCTTCAAGTTGCTGCAGGCCGAGGAACTCCAGATGAATGGTTGTGTTAACACGTTTCAATTTTTCTGAGGATCTGACTGTAGAAAGGAGCTCCAGAACACCGCCACACCCATCCACAGCCATTCAATCTGTCCCTCGCCTGTCGCAGCAACACAGTCAAACACACATACTCCTGCTGGGGCTCCAGGAGCTGGCGCACCTGAAGGGACCGTCAGCCTACACTGGGCCTTCCGGAGCGCAAAGGTGCACAGGCCCTCACATCGCCAGCACCTGCTAGCTTTGGAACTCTCACGCTTGGCACCCAAGACCAAGGATGGCCAGGTCCGGCGCCTGCGCACTATGAGCCCCGACTACAACTCCCAGAAAACTCCACGGCGAGGATGCCCCAGGGCCTTTGGGCTTCGGGTGTCTTCTTGCTTTCCCGGCTCTGGACTACATTTGCCACAGGTCACAGGGCGCGAATGACAGGCGGTCTCGAAAGTCCCCTTAGAGCGTTCTTGTGGTTCTTGGGCTCCGGTTGCGAGCCGGTCCAGTGGAAAGAGAAATCAGTGTAGGGCGTGGAAGGCAGGACTTTGTGAACTCGGACCCCAGCCCGCGGTGGGGGTGAGAAGAGGGTAGCTGTCCAGGTGAACGCGAGCTACGAGGGAGGTGATGGTGTGACAGACACGAAGCGAGGGGTGGTCAAAACAGGTGAGGATGTTTCCTGGCTGTGTGTGATGCAGTTAGGTAAGGGACAGGGTCGGAATGTCCTCCCGTGATGGTGAGGGACAGGTATGGTGTAAGAGCTGTGTGTGAACACTGTGCGCGTGTTAGGGCCAAAAGTGTGTTACATTGTATGAAAGGAGATATTGTATTTGCATGACTGTGCACACAACATGGCTGAGATGTCCTATGACAGATGGAATTGGGTGTGTGGGTGTGTGTAAGCAGGCATCTGTGCCTACGAAGTGGCCAGTTTGTTTTTGTAGCTGCATGTAAAATACATTCTATGAGCTTCAATTAAGTTCAGTCGCTCAGTTGTGTCCGACTCTTTGCAACCCTACGGACTGTGGCATGCCAGCCTTCCCTGTCCTTCACCAGCTCTTGGAGTCTGCTCAAACTCATGTCTGTCAAGTTGGTGATGCCATCCAACCATCTCATCCTCTGTCATCCGCTTCTCCTCCTGCCTTCAATCTTTCTCAGCATCTGGGTGTTTTCTAATGAGTCAGTTATTCACATCAGGTGACCAAAGTATTGGATCTTGAGCTTCAGCATCAGTCCTTCCAATGAATATTCAAGACTGATTTCCTTTAGGATGGACTTGTTGGATCTCCTTGCAGTCCAAAGAGCTCTCAAGAGTCTTCTCCCACACCACAGTTCAAAAGTATCAATTCTTTGGCACTCAGCTTTCTTTGTGATCCAACTCTCACATCCATACATGACTACTGGAAAAAACATAGCTTTGACTAGATGAACCTTTGTCAGCAACATCTCTGCTTTTTAATATGCTGTCTAGGTTGGTCATCGCTTTTCTTCCAAGGAGGGAGTGTCTTTTAATTTCATGGCTGCAGTCACCATCTGCAGTGATTTTGGAGCCCAAGAAAATAAAGTCGGTCACTGTTTCCACTGTTATCCCCTCTATTTGCCATGAAGTGATGGGACTGGATGCCATAATCTTAGCTTTTTGAATGTTGAGTTTTAAGCCAACATTCATAAGCTTTGTATGAGCTTATCTGTTGCTTATGGTGGAGCTGGAGTGTTTTTCTGTGACCGTGTGACAAGGCCATGTGTGTGTGTGTGCCAGAGAGAAGACAGGATGACAGGATTGGGATGAATCTGTGACTGTGGTGAAAGTGTGTGTGTGTTTGTGTGTAGCATGACAGGATGTGACTGTTGTGTGGTGGGTGACAGGTCTGCGGTGTATCTCTGTGATTCTGTGTTACGTTTGTATGCATGACCATCTATGTATGTGACATGTCAGCATATATCTCTGACTTTGTGTGATGGGCATTGTGTATGTTTGCTGAGTGAGTTGTTTGTTGGGTGGGTTATTTAGTATGGTGTTTGCTCTAACTTTCTTTTTAAAAACCACACACTCTTAATCCAAAGAAATAAGTTCATTTCAATTATTAGTTTGCTAAAAAATCTTCATAATTATTATTATAATTTTCTGTTGATTTTTTTTAATCAGATGCCTTTTCTGTGTCTACTAATACGACCATAAAATTTTTCTTCTTTATTTTGATAACATGATAGCATACATTGATTTTTTAAATGTTAAACCAACCTTCCATTTTTGGAATAAGCCAAGCAAGGGGATGATATAAGATCCTTTTTGTAAGTTGCTGTGTAAGTGAACGTGTTAGCCAATCAGCTGTATTTGACTCTTTGCAACCCAATGGACTGTAGCCCGCCAGGTTCCTCTGTCCATGGAACTCCCCAGGCAAGAATACTGGAGTGGGTTGCCATTCCCTTCTCCAGGGGATCCTCCCAACACAGGGATCAAACCTGTGTCTCCTGCTTTGCAGGCAGCAGATTCTTTACTGCCTGAGCCACCAGGGAACTCCAAATAATTGTGTACCTCTCTTAATATTTTGTTAGTACCTTGATTTATATTGCTAGCATGTTCTGGGAAAGTCAGGCTGAGAAATTAGTATAAAGTTTATCCCAAGCTTGGAGTGCCAGGGTGTTTGGAAAAAAATATCAAGGAAATTCTCTGGAGGATTGTAACTTCCATTCATACTTTGAAGAGCTTTTACAGATAACCCCAGATTTAATGTAAAGAAACAAGCCACTATGCATTACAGTGGCAAAAACAACAAACGACATAAGTAGAACACGAAGAAAATTAGGTATTAAATTTACTGAGTACATAAGTTTGAAACAGAATACCAGAATGAGTAACAGAAATTGGAGCAAAGCAAATGAATTAATGAAACATGAACTAATTAAGTAGAAAACACTGAAAGGAAGGGAGGAAGGGACTTCCCAGGTGTTCTAGTGGCTAACACTCCATGCTCCCAATGCAGGGGGGCTGGGTTTGATCACTGATCAGGGAACAAGATCCCATAGGTGGAAACTAAGACCTGGTTCAGCCAAATAAATAATTTTTTTTAAATGGGGAGAAGAAAGGTAACAGGTGACATAACAGATTCCTAGAAAGATACAACTTAAAGAATTGACAAGAACAAATAGAAACTTGTAATAGTCAATTAATCACTAATGATAATAGTGTCAGTAGTTTAGGATGTAAACTCTAATCATCACCAGGCTCAGATAATTGTGTAGAAGAGTTTAATTAGGGGAGTGTTCAGATAGGTCTTAGGTGCTACTTCATTCATAGCCTCTCAGCCTCACCTGTGCCTGGAGCCTTTGGAAACTTGTTTCTCTTGATTCCCTGCTGTGGCAACTGTCCCTGCATGAATTCTGGACAATTCCACATGGGCACAACCCACAGCAGTGCCTGACCTCATGCCTGCACTGGGCACCTCTTGCCTCAAGGCATCTGGGCCTGTATGGTTGTACTTTTATCTTGATCACACAAATAAAATAGATTCTCCAAAAGGTTTTAATGGATGTTGTAGCTCAAACCTGTAACTTCTTTGTGGGCAAAAGTTCATGGTTGTGAATATTTCTGTTCGTTGGCCCTTCATTATTGTTGCAGTTATTGTGTGAATGGGAGATGAATGACCGAGTTTCAAATCATTTAGCTCTTTAAAAAGAGCCTGCAGAACCTAAGTGTCCAACAGATGAATAAAGAAGATGTGATATAAAATGAACTTATTTACAAAACAGAAATGGGCTCACAGACTTAGATAACAAACTTATGATTACCAGGGGGGAAGGGCAGGAGGAAGGGATAGTCAGGGAATTTAGGATTGACACTGCTGTATTTAAAATGGATAACCAAGGGACTTTCTTGATGGTCCAGTGGCTAAGACTCTGCAGTCCCCATTCAGGGGGCACAGATTTGATCCCTGGTCAGGGAACTAGATCCCACATGCCACAACTAAAAGTCCCACATGCTGTAACTAAGATCTAATGCAGCCAAATAAATATTTTAAAAATAATAACAATAAAATTGATAACTGACAAGGACTGACTGCCTAGTACAGGGAACTTTGCTCAATATTATGTGGCAGCCTGGATGGGAGGGGAGCTTGGGGGAGAATGGATGAATGAATATGTATGGCTGAGTCGCTTTGCTGTGCATTTGAAAGTATCACAACATTGTTAACTGACTAAATTCCAATATAAAATAAAAAGGTTTTTTTAATGTTTTAAAAAAGAGGATGTGTGGTATATATATATATATATATATATATATATATATATATATATATATATATACACACACACACACAATGTAACCTTAAACATAAGAAAGAATGAAAGAATGCCATTTGCAACAACACAGATGGACCTAGAGATGATCATACTAAGAGCAGTAAGTCAGACAGAGAAAGACAGATATCTTATGATAGCACATATATGGCATATAAAAAAAAGATACAAATGAACTTATTTACAAAACAGAAATAGACTCACAAACAGAAAAAAACTTATGGTTACAAAAGGGAAAAGAGAAAAAAGCAGGGGTTTGGGATGAAAAGATACACACTAATATGCATAAAATAGATAAACAACAATGACCTACTGTATAGCACAGGGAACTATATTCAATATCTTGTAATAACCTATAGTGGAAAAGAATCCAAATCAGGATGTGTATGTGTTTGTATAACAGAATAATTTTGCTAAAAGAACTGAAACTAACAAAAACATTGTGAATCGATGATACTTCAATTTAAAAAAATAGCCTGCAGAGAGGGAGGGGGAGAGTCATACTCGGGAAAAGATCCATTGCCTACTCCAGGATTTATATTTAGAAGTTAAGCAAAATGATATCTGCCACTTGCTTTTACTGGTTCAAGAGTAGTAGGTAATCTATTTACCTAAGTAAATTATGGTTACAAAAGTAACCATAAATCCGTCTTCCCCAGTGGCTCAGGGGTAAAGAATCCACCTTCAATGCAGGAGACACAGGTTCAATCCCTGGGTCAGAAAGATCCATTGGAGTAGGAAATGGCAACCCACTCCAGTATTCTTGCCTGGGAAATCCCATGAACAAAGAAGCCTGGCGGGCTGCAGCCCATGGGGTTGTTAGGAGTCAGACACGACCGAGCATAGCATACACACACACACACACACACACAAAGCATCTTTTAAAAAAATCCCTGTTGGTATCTGTGCTTCGGCTGCATTCAGTGTTTCATATTGCAGTTCATATTTTCTGCTAATTATTTACTATACCAGACTAGAAATACTGAATTCCACATTTAAATTCATATGTCCTTTCACTTGGCCTAAATCACTATATATTAACTAACATCTGATTAGGGTGTTAGTAATCCACAAAGAATGTAGGTGGGTGGAAATGAAAGAGTATTACACAATAGTCTGTTAACTATATTATTACAGTAGTTATTAATTATTGCTTTAGAAATCTCATCAGCATAAAAACTATTCTAAGAATGAATTACTTGTTATGTATGTATTATTTTAAGGTGCTAAAATTAAAAAAAGAAATTAATCCTATCTGACATCTATCAAGAAGGAAAAACAGGGAATTCCCTGACAGTCCAGTGGTTAGGACTCGGCGCTTTCACTGCTGTAGGCCCAGGTTCAAATTGGTCAGGGAACTAAAATCCTGAAAAGTCAAAATAATAATAATAATAATCAGGGCCAGAACATGGAAAGCTCTTATAAAACTAATTGGATCACTGAATACATTTTTGTAAAAAATAAGGTGGTGGGTGGGAGCGAATGTCCCAGGTGTTATTTCAGGTGAACATAGATGAATCCAGATCCATTAATGATTGATCTAAATTTATCTTCTACCTCCATGTAAACTATGAAGGAAAAATTCCAAAAAATAACTGGAAGAGGAGGAAAACGAAGAATCCTTTCATCTAACTTTTTTTGCATATTTAATTCAACCCAAGGACCTAGCCATGTAATTTGAATATTAGACTCAAATCTAACCTCTAGAAATTTGAATGTTTGGATATGAAACGCAAATTAAAATTCTTAAAAATTATTTGCTTTAAGTAAGAACGTTGGGACTTCCCTGGTAAATTCACCTTGCAATGCTGGGGATGATGGTTCAATCCCTAGCCTGGGAACTAAGATCCTGCATGCCTCAGAGCAACTAAACCCACTCGCATCAACTACTGAGTCCTCATGCCACAACTAGAGAGCCTGTGTGCTGTAAGGAAAGATCCTGAATGATACAGCAATGATCCTGCATGCTGCAGCTAAGACCCAACACAGCTAAGTTAATTAGTTTAATTAATTAAAATAATGCCATTTAATTAATTAAGATAAGGACATTTAACTTCCAAAAGACAGAAATGTTGTTTCACCAAACCCTTCCCACTGAGGAATAAAAGATCAGATTCAGATGAGTTTATTTCATCTCAAAGATTCTTAAAATTCATCTTTATTTCAAGCTCTGGACATGGAAAAAATATACTAAAAAGAGAATGAGTAGAGGATGGTAGTTGCTATGATTTATCACCAAGATCTTTTTAGGGATGAAGGACTTGCTTCTCTCACCTGCTAAGACCCACACACTAGAGCTTCCCCAAGGTGGACTGAGCCCTTCGTGGGGCTGAACCACAGCCCAGCTTCTCCCTCTGCCCAGTCCTGCCCCCTTGGCTTCCCTTCCACAGCTGTGGAGTCCCACAGTCTTGGTCACTTGCCTCTCAAGGAGTCACACAGAAATTGACAGACAGCCTGGATCATATATATTAAAACAAGAAAGTGAGGGGAACAATCCACAACAGTTTGCAATATTCAAAGTTAGGATCGGATTTAGTATAACTACCAAAGAATTGAAAACAAGCTCCCCAACAGATGTTTGTACACCCATATTCATTGCAGCTGCATTCACAACAGCCAATAAGCGGAAGCAATCTATATGCACATCAACGGATGAATGAATAAACAAAATGAAATAGATAAACACAACGGGCTGTAACTCATCCTTAAAAAGAAAGGAAATTCTGACACATGCTACAACATGGATGAACCTTGAGAACTACGTGAAATAAGCCAGTCATAACAAGATAAACACTGTTTGATTTCACTCATACAAAGTAGTCAGATTCATAGAAACACAAAGTTAAATGGCGGATGCCAGGGTTTGGGAGGAGAGAGTAAGAGAAGATGCTGTTTAATGGGTCTGAATTTTCAGTTTTGCAGGATAAAAAGGGTCTAGAGATTGGTTGCCCAACAATGTAAATATGTTTAACACTACTGAACTGTTTAAAAAAAAATTAAGGTCTGATCTGAAAAAGAAATACCGATGTAGCAGAGTCTATGTAAAAATAAGAGAAAATATTGGCACAATATCTGACACAATATACACAATTCAGCTTTGGGTAAGGCTGTGCCTAAAGTCCCAGAAGAAAACTCCACAGTTCTGACAATATATGTGAGGAAGATTTATGCAGAATATAAAAACTGGCAGGGACTTCCCTTGTGGTCCAGTGGCTAAGACTCTGTGTTCCCAATGCAGAGAGACTGAACGCAGTTCCACTGAAATAAAACGAGGGAGGGGTTTTCAGCACTGGACAAACTAATGGGAAAGTGCTGAAGACAGAGGGGAGGTTGGTCCAAGGGATGGTCCAGCACAATGACTTACTCCTCTGTTTGCAAGTGTTCTTTGCTGTGATTAGGCATCTGTGTTTGCTAATTTGGCTCCTGCCCCGCCATACACAGAGCCTGGGGGACAGGGGTACTATCTTCCTTAATGATGACATTTCGAAGGGATGGCTCCCAGGTCCTTGAGAAAGACATTCCTGGACTGTGAAACTGGCAAGAAGCTGGGAGAAGATCTACCTACGTTTCAAAGGGACAGGGAAAGAATCGGCAATGACAAGTTTTCTAAAGTAAATGCTCTAAGAAAAGGGAGGCTGGGGTTTCCTCTTGTCAGGAAGAAACCCCGTGCTGAGTTTCGTCAAGCTCAGGAAACCAGTAAGGCTGTCCGGGTCACTGCCTCTGCCCATCCATCTGTGGTCTCATGGCCCTAGGTCTCTTCATGTGCCCGGTGCCCACGCCGTAGGGCACAGTGAGTGGGTATGACCCCAGCAGGCTGTGCCTTCAAGCAGCGAGAAGCAAGGTGGATCAGGCGGTGAGGACCTGGGGTCTGTCTCTGTCACAGGCCCCACTACCCATCTGGAAGTCCCCATCTGCCCAATGTCTGAGCGTCTACATGGGTGTGTCCCCATGTTTGGGCAAAAGTGTATGTCTCCAATCATGTGCCTGTGTCTGTCCCCTCCAGTGTGTTTAAATTCATTCACTTAATCTAGGGACTTCCCCGGTGGTCCACTGACTAAGACTCCACTCTCCCAATGCAGAGGGCCTGGGTTCGATCCCTGGTCAGGGAATTAGATCCCATATGCAGCCATTAAAGATCCTGTGTGCCACAACTGAGACCCAGCACAGCCAAATTAGGGGGAAAAAAAAAAAAGAATCCAACTTGCAATTCAGGGGACATGGGTTCAATCCCTGGCCAGGAACTAAGATCCCACATCCCACAGAGCAGTTGTGCCATGACTAGAGAGTCTGTGCGCCACAACCAAAGATCCCACGTGATGCAACTAAGATCCAACACTGCCAAATAAATAAAATATTTAAAGCAACCTAATAAAAATCTATCGAATGCCTTCTGTGGGCATGTCCGGTTCATCAGGTCTGGGTTGATTCGTCTGTCTAGATTTGGATCTATCCACATCGGGTGTGTCTGTTTTTCTGCATCCCGTGAGTAACTGCCTCTCTGGGTGGCTCTGTCTCCCTGTCATTTTGTCAGGTCCTTGATTCACTCATTCCTACATCATCACAAACATCCCCTGAGACCCCTGAGGAATTCACAGCCTGATGGAGGAGACAGACATTAGCCTAACCCAGAGTGACCAAGGCTGGGAGACAGGGAGGTGCTTGAGGCCGAGGGTGGGGGGATGATTGTTGGGACAGGGGTGCGGGTCAGGGAAGGCTTCAGGGAGGAGGTGATGTTTGCTTCTCTGGGTCTGGAGGCATGGTCCCTTACAGGTGACATGTGTCAGGGTGAAGGAAGAGAAGTCAGAGGCCACGTGTGCCCACCTCAGACTAGAACACAGTGCTGGGGGAACGGGGTAGACAGCCCCCAAGACACAAGTCCCCCCACAATGAAGGGTTACAAGTCCCCAGCCCCCCCTCCCCCAGACCCAGGGTCCAGGCCCCAGCCCCTCCTCCCTCAGACCCAGGATCCAGGCCCCCAGCCCCTCCTCCCTCAGACCCAGGATCCAGGCCCCCAGCCCCCACTCCCCCAGACACAGGATCCAGGCCCCCATCCTGATTATCTAGGAGGAGACTAGCCCAGGCGGGGGAGGGCGGGGTTGGAGAAATGTCAACCTACCAGGGTAGCCAGGACACCTGAGGCTTGGCTTGAAGAACCAGCCAGGCAGAAGTCAGAGCGTGAGGAGCTGGCCTCCGAGTCTCCACTCAGGCCCACAACATGGCAGCGGGAGTCGCCAGAGTCATCCTGCTGTGCCTCTTTGGGCCTGTCCTCTGCCTGACAGATGTCCAGACTTCTGAGCCCAGTGGTAAGAAGGGCAGTTGGGTGGGTGGAAGCAGGACTCTTCTGGGTCTGAGGGAGCAGAGAGAGTGGGCGCCAGATTCCAGGGACTCAGGGAAAAGTGAACTGGGGGCCCTGACTCCTGGGTCTGAGGGAGGAGGCTCTGGGGGTCTGGACCCTGGGTCTGATGGAGGAGGTTCTGTGGGTCTGGACTCCTGGGTCTTGGTCAGAGAGACTGTGTCCTCTCACTTCTCTTCCCCTCCTCTTGTCTTCCCACATCACTCACTTCCTCCACTATCTCTGGTTCACTACTCTAGCCTTTCTCATCTGCTTCACCCATGTCCCCATTCATTCAAAGGTACTTCAGGGGAGACATGGAGGCTCCTTCTAGAGCTGGCAGGAAACCTTGACTCAGGCAACCTCTTCCCCTATAGGGACACAGTCATATCAGGATTGAAGTGGCTACAAAGGCAGGAAATTTGAGAGGTGGGAAGGAGGTTATACCTGCACACAACTTTATGTGTGTGTGTGCGCTCATCACAGGAAGAAGAGAGTTCAATTTCTGTGTGTGTCCATGTGTCAGCATGTGCTGTGGGTCTCTGTGCTTGTGTGTGTGTATTTATAGCAGGTTTTGGTGTCTGGGTATTTGAACAAATGTTTTCATGGGTCTGTTCATCTCTGATCCTCACTTTCTTTGTAAAAGAGATGTGAGTATAATTTTGCATCTCTGCTTCTCTTTGTGCATCTCTGTGACAAGTAGGCCTGTGTTTCTCTCTATGTATGTGTGTTTGGGTATGATGATGTGTGTCTGTCTCTCTGTGTATCTGTTGTGTGTCTCTTATGAATCTTGTATCTGAATATGGTTTTAAGTTGTCTGATTTTGTAAGTCTCTTTTTTGGTGTATCTCTATCTTTGCCTAATTGTAGGCTCTGATTTTATTTGTGATTCTTGCGTCTGTATTTGTCTCTCTGGGTATGACTTCCAGTGATCCTGGGTTTGTGTGTTGTGACTGTTTCTGTATCCACACATATTTCTATCTGAGATTCTGAATTATGTATGTATGAGATACCTTGGTTTAGGGAGTTTCTATTGGAGGGTCTGGGTGGTACTTGTTTTGTGTATGAATGTAGAACTCTACATGAGTGCATACAGGGTATTCTGCGTATATTTCTGAGATTGGCATGAACCGGTGAAAATTTTGTTATTCTGTGTTTACATCAGTATTTCAGTGTTTGACCAGGTATCACAGGGGCTGCCTGTGCGTGAGTATTTGTAGCATGAGATTGCACATCTTTGGGCTTGTACTAGAATGTTTGTTTTCCATCAGTGGCCTTTCAGTGCTACTGGATATTGTGTGTTTTGTTGTGAGAGGGGAAGGCAGAGCAGGAGTGAATTGCTTCCTCCTTTATCAAAATCTCAGAGGGCTTCCTGGAAGAGGGTGGAAATTTGGAACAGCCTTGGGGGAAAAAATGAGACTGGCAGGTGCAGAGGCCAATACCCTTGCCAAGAGTCAGGCACAGTCATGGGCAGCCACACCAGCAGACCCTGCTTCCCTGATGGCAACAAGGCCTGTCACCTCTCAGAGCAGAAGGGCCTGGCTGTCATCTTTAGGGCGGAGCCCCAAGTGCCTGGCACAGGCTCATCGCGGGCCTGTTCCTCTCACCGAACCCCTGCTCCTCTCCCCAGGGTCCCAGGCCCGGCAATGCTACAGCTTCCAACACATCTACTTCGGGCCCTTTGACCTCAGTGAAGTGAACTTCAGCAATGTCTCCTGCCCGCAGGGATGCTCTGAGGCTGTCTTGTCCCTGAACACTGGTGAGGGGCAGGACACTCAGAATAAGAAAGGGGCGGGGAAGGGGGTGAAACATCAGCCAGATGGCGGTGGGAAAGGGGGGATGGAATAGGAGACAAAGGTTGGGGAGGAACTGGGTAGGTGAGGAGAGGAAAGACGGCGATAGAGATGGGGAGGTGGAGGGAGGAGGAAGCGGGAGAGAAAGAGGGGATGAGGGGGAGGGAGGTGGGAGGAGGAGACCGTGTGGAGCCAGGAGGGGGGCGACCTAAGAGCGGACCGGAGAGAGAAAAGGAGGAGAAAAGGGCTGGGGATGGGGGGCGGCCGGCGGGCGCGGCGGGGGAGGGATGTAGGGAAAGCGGAGTTTGAGAAGGAAGCGAGGGGGGAAGAGAAGGGCAGGGCAGCAGGGAGAAGAGAAGCCAGGTTGAAAGGAGAGTGGAGGAGGAGAGGAGACCGAGGAGGGAGAGACTTGAGGCTAGAGGGAGAGGAATGGGTGCGGAGAGGAGGGCGGGTTGGAGAAGAGGCAGCGCCCCGGACTCCATCCCCTCGCCCCCAGGGTACCGCTCCTCGGTGACCATGGTGCAGAAGGGCTGCTGGAGAGGCCCGCTTACGGGCCAGATGCTGTCGGATGACAAGTCGCTGCCGCCTGACTACTCGGTGGTGCGCCGCTGTGCCACCGACTTGTGCAACGCGAACCTCCAGACCCACGACTCGCTCCCCAATCTGAGCCCCGGTAGGCGAGAGGGCGGGGCTGGGCGTGGGGCGGGACGGGCCCCCCGGAGTGCGGGGCGTGGCCTCCGCTGGGCTCCTCCTCCCGGCGCGCTGGCCTTCTGGCCTTCAAGTCAAGCAAGGTGGGCGCCCTGGCGCAGTGCGCACGCCCCACGTCCGGACGGCGGACGGTGACCTGAGTGTGCCTCCACGCTCTCTTGGTAGCGCCCAACCCGCCGACACTCAGCGGCACCGAATGCTACGCCTGCGTGGGGATCCACCCAGAGGACTGCACCCCGGAGAAGTCCCGGCGGGTCCAGTGTCACCAGGACCAGAGCGTCTGCTTCCAGGGCAATGGACGAATGACCCTGGGTGAGGGGCTGGGACCGCCTGGGCAAGGGGCGTGGAGGCAGGGCAGGACTGACTGAGACATGGCCCTGGTCTAAAGAAGGAGGCATGGCCCTGGTCTGAGGGAGGAGGCATGCCCTGGTCTAAAAAAGGAGGCATGCCCTGGTCTGAGGGAGGAGGCATGGCCCTGGTCTGAGGGAGGAGGCATGGCCCTGTTCTGAGGGAGGAGGCATGCCCTGGTCTGAGGGAGGAGGCATGACCCTGGTCTGAGGGAGGAGGCATGGCCCTGGTCTGAGGGAGGAGGCATGGCCCTGGTCTAAGGAAGGGACTGGAAGGAAGTCCGAGGACCCAGTCATGGCCTTGGCCTCTGAGGTGGAGCTTCAGGTGTGGCTGCCTCCCTCTGTCCTGACCCTTTCTCATCACCCCTCTCCCAGGCAATTTCTCAGCCCCCGTGTATGTCCGAACCTGCCAACGGCCCTCCTGCACCATCAAGGGCACCACCAGTCCCTGGACAAACATCGACCTGCAGGGCTCCTGCTGTGAGGGGGACCTGTGCAACAGGGGCGCCCTGACCCAGTCCTTCACCAGCGCCTCAGACACCGCCGCCCCCCGGGTGCCCCCTGTCACAATCCTGCTCCTCACGGTCTCCCTGCTGGGTGGCGCTCTGGGAGGAACCCTCGGGCTCTCCTCCTAGTCAGTCCCTTCAGCCTCTTCCTGAGTGGGATGCTGGGGGCAGGGCACACACACCCCCTTCTCATTGCTTCACTCCCTGGAATGTGGAAAATCAGAGTTGCACACCTGTCTCTCTCTTTCCGTCCCTCCCTCCCTCCTGCTTCCCTACTGATGCCTAGCCCTCACCTGGTCAGCAGGCCTGGAAGAAACTGGGCAAGGCCCCCAGCACTCCAGGGTGGGGAGAAATGGCCACATCCCACATAAAGAGCAAACCTGATCCATGCTGAGCACCAAACAGGCCCAGACTCCGCACAGGCCATTTCCTGGTTGTGGGTTTCCTGGTCTGAGGCTATCCCACAACCCAACCAGCTCCAGCAGGGAGCTACAATGATGTCTTTATTAGTATCATCATGGGAGACTTGAAAGGCAGTATAACCAGCATATCCTAGACACTAGGAGCCCAGACCCTGAAGCATATCCTAGACACTAGGAGCCCAGACACTGAAGTCAGGCTGCATAGGTTCAAATCCCACCTCTACCATTTAGCCTGTGGGTGACCTTGGGTGGTTACTTAACCTCACTGAGACTATGTTTCCTCACCTGTTGGGCAGAGGTGAAAATAAAACCTACAATAATGACAAGACCTACTTCACAGTTTTGGTTGTGGTCAGAATTTAACAAGAATGAACGTGGAGTACCTGGGACAAAACTGTCACCCACTGTTATGGTCCTCATGTCACAGACGAGAAGATGTGATGCTTGCAAAGGCACTTGATTGACCTCATGTATCTCATGAGTGGGAAGCATGACTCCAAGCCCTGTGAACCACTAGGCAACTCTGCCTCACAAACACATGGATGTTGATTAAATTGATAGAAAAACACTTGAGACCCAGCAATCCCACTATTGGGCATATACCCTGAGGAAACCATAACTGAAAAATATCTGTATCCCAGTGTTTACTGCAGTGCTATTTACAGTAGCCAAGATGTGGAAGCAACCTAAATGTTCATGAACAGATGAATGGATAAAGAAGATGTGGCACATCTTTATCACTCAGTCATAAAAAGGAACAAAATTGGGTCATTTGTAGTGATGTGGATTTGGGCTTCCCAGGTGGCGCTAGTGGTAAAGAACCAGCCTGCCAATTCAGGAGACCTAAGAGACACAGGTTCGATCCCTGCGTAGGGAAGATCCCCTGGAGGAGGGCTTGGCAACCTACTCCAGTATTCTTGCCTGGAGAATCCCATGGACAGAGGAGACTGGCAGGCTTTGAGCCTTAGGCTCAAAAAAGAGTCAGACACAACTGAAGTGACTTAGCACAAATGAACCTAGAGTCTACCAGTCAAAGTGAAGTAAATCAGAAAGAGAAAAAAAATCGTATATTAACACATAGATATGGAATGTAGAAAAATGGTACTGATGAACTTGTTTGCAGGGCAGGAATAGAGACTCAGATGTACAGAATGGACTTGTGGACACAGGGCAGGGAAGGGGAGGGTGGGACAAACTGAGACAGTAGCATTAAGTAGTGTCCATGTGTAAAACAGATGGCTAGTGGGAAGCTACCGTATAGCAGAGGGAGTTTAGCTTGGTACTCTGTGATGACTTAGAGGGCTGGGGTGGGAGATGGGGTGGGAGGGAGTCTCCCGAGCGAAGGGATATATGTATACATACGACTGATTCACTTTGTTAAACAGCAGAAACCAACACAGCATTGTAAAGCAATTCTACTCCGATGAAAAAAATAAAAATTTAAATTAAAAAAAAGAAAGAAAGAAAGAAAGAAAAACACTTGAAGCAAAGCTGAACCAGGCAAAACTCTCTAACTTATGGGGATCAGGGAAGATATCCTGAAGGAAGGAAACCTTAGGCAAACTCTTAAAGGATAAAGTGTGCGAGCTCAGTCGTGTCTGACGCTGGGATCCCATGGACTGTAGCCTGCCAGGCTCCTCTGTCCATGGGATTTCCCGGGCAAGAATACTGGAGTGGGTTTCCACTTCCTTCTCCAGGGGTTCTTCCTGACCCAGGGATCTAACCCGCGTCTCCTGCATTGCAGGAGGATTCTTTACCACTGAGCCACCTGGGAAGCCAAAAAGATAAAGAGGAACTGGCAAAGAGAAGTAGGAGGAAGGGCATTCTAGGTGGAGGAGATAACCTGGACAAAGATCTGGAGGTAGCAAGGGACTCAGGGTGTGTGGGGCATTTACACAAGCTCGTGAACTTCATAGAAATGGAACCCCCCAGCACATCTGTTTGCACACAGGTTTTACAAAGTCCATTCACATCATTTCCCCAAAAACTGTATCCTCCCAGTGACCCAGTGAGGGGGCAAAAAAAGGGAACCGCATGCCCATTTGGCAGAGAACTTGCCCAAGGCACAATGACAATAATTTTCAGAGTAAGCGATGCAGCAAGAATGTATCCTCGTATCTTCAACTTCACCCCAACAGGCAACCTTGTGGGGAGGAGGGCATCTCAGAAACACTCTCACACTCCTGTGAGGTCATGGGGAGAAGGGCTGTCAATGCCTGTACATCCTGACTTAGGCAGGGAGGTTGATTGTCACTATCTATTCATTCATCTCCTTTACTGAGCACCTTCTGTGCACCACCTGATGTGAATAGTGACTCATTGGAAAATACTCCAATGCTGGGAAAGATTGAGGGCAGGAGGAGAAGGGGGTGACAGAGGATGAGATGGTTGGATGGCATCAACCACTCAACGGGCATGAATTTGAGCAAACTCTGAGAGATAGTGAAAGACAAGGAAGCCTGGGGTGCTGTAGTCCACGAGGTCACAAAGAGTTGGATACGACTGAGCGACTGAACTGAACTGAACTGTGTGCCAGGCATCATTCTCGTTGCTGGACATACAGCAGTGAACAAAACAGGCAAACATCCCTACCTTCAAGGTAATGACTTCTTGTGGGGGTTGCAGAATTGGAATTTTATTACAAATGTGGTTTAAACCTGGACTGGTCAGTCTGATGTGGACGTGGCTAGGCTAGGCTACAGTACCAGCTAGTCATTCAAATGCTAATCTCAGTGCTGCCTAGGAGGTATTTTTTAGATGTGATTAAAGTAAAATACTTTGGCCACCTCATGCAAGAGTTGACTCATTGAAAAGACCCTGATGCTGGGAGGGATTGGGGGCAGGAGCAGAAGGGGAAGACAGAGGATGAGATGGCTGGATGGCATCACTGACTTGATGGACATGAGTTTGAGTAAACTCCGGGAGTTGGTGATGGACAGGGAGGCCTGGTGTGCTGCGATTCATGGGGTCACAAAGAGTCGGACTCGACTGAGCAACTGAACTGAACTGAACTGAAAGTCGGTGTTCAGTTGACTTTAAATTCAGTAGATTACCCTAAGATCATCTGGCTGGGCCTGATTCAATCAGTTCAAAGACATCAAAAGTAGAGTTAAGGCTTCCCTGCAAACGAAATCTGCCTATGTGAGACTTCCCCTGGTGGCTCAGTGGTTCGGAATCCGCCTGCCAATGCAGGGGACGTGGTTCAATCCCTGGTCCAGGAAGAGCCCACATGTGGCGGAGCAACTAAACTCATGCACCACAATTTACTGAGCCCGTGCCCTAGAGCCCTCATGCCACAACTACTGAAGCCTTCATGCTTAAAGCCCATGCTCTGCAACAGGAGAAGCCACTGCAATGAGAGGCCTGTGCGCCAAAACTAGAGAGTAACCTCGGCTGGCTGCAACTAGAGAAAGTCCATGCACAGCAACAAAGATTCAGTGTGGCCAAAAATAATAAATAAGTAAATAAAAATGTTAAAAAATTTTAAAAGCCCACAGAAAGATTCCGGGGAGTGGCAGCATTCTGTGTGTGGTGATTTCATGGGGGTCCACAAATATAATTTTTTTCAATGAATTAATTTATTTTAATTGGAGGATAATTACAATATTGTGATAGTCATGAATTGGCCACAGGTATACATGTGTCCCTGACATCCTGAAACCCCCCCCACCTCCCCCATGAATGTAATTTTTCCAATGTGCTTAGTCACTCAGTTGTGTCGGGTTCTTTCCAACTGCATGGACTGTAGTCTGCCAGGCTCCTCTGTCTATGGGAATCTCCAGGCAAGAATACTGGATTAGGTAGACATGCCCTCCTCCAGGGGATCTTTCCAACCCAGAGCTCGAACCCAGGTCTCTGGCATTGCATGTAGATTCTTTCCATGAAGTATCTGAGTCACCAAGGAAGCCCAAGAATAGTGGAATGGGTAGCCTATCCCTTCTCCAGAGGATCTTCCCAACCCAGGAATCAAACCGGGGTTGCCTGCATTGCAGGTGGATTCTTTGCCAGAAGAGCTACCAAGGAAGCCCCTATTTGTCCAATATATATCTCTATACTATATGCACTTTATGCATGTATGGTATACTGCATTAAAAAAATACTAATGACAACAGTAAAGTCAAACCTAGAGCCTAAGACTCCCACATTGTGGCTCTTTAATCTTTGGTGACACAGGTCAGGAACTGGCTATCTCTGGTGCATCAGTTGGGAGAGGGGACAGGAGAACCTCTTGAGATAGTGAAGTTTCTGTATGACTTGCTTGAGGTGACAGTCACACGTGTCTACACACAGGTAGAACTGCATCAATCTGAATGGCTAAGATGTATGACCTTTCCAATGTGTAAGCCATACCTCCACAAAAGGAAACAAAACTAAAAGTATGACATATAATTAAATGATCTCATGTCTGGGATTTGCATGAAAATAATATAGGAAGTGAGGAAATGGGTGGAGGCACTGATGAAATGCAATTAACCATGAGTTGGTATTTGTCAGACGGGTACGTGGAGGCTTATTATACTCTTCTGTTCACTTCTGTTTGTTTGAAGTTTTCCATAATAATATACATGTCTATGTGTGTACACATGAACAGATAGATGCATAGAAGAACTACCATTTCAGTCCAGTGACCCAGGCACTTCAGAACTCAGATGCCTGCCTCCTCTCAATGGTCCACGTGGTCTGGATCCTGCTCACATCGATCGCCCT